GCCAAAGACCTGAATCTTCCCGGAAGACAACATCAAAGGGAAAGCAAAAAGTACACGAACATTTAGATCATGAGACTCACAACCTGGGATCCTCTTCTGAAGGTGAGAAGGAGGTGGAAAAAGAGTTGTATCCTCAGTCAACCAAAGTGGATGAGCTAGAAGCCCGCCTTAACGCAATGGCCAACAGAAGTGAGCTTCGCGAGGAAGGAGTGATACGATCTTACCCTGCAGAATGGGACACAGCTCCCTATCCGCCAAAGTTTAAGGCCCCGACGCTACAACCTTTTGACGGTACAGGATCACCAAATCAGCATATCTACTACTTCAAGTCTCAGACTGGAGATGTAGTGTCAAACGACGCCATTCTGACCCGACTATTCATCGGTACCCTCAAAGGTATCGCCTTTGAATGGTTTATGAAACTGCCTGCTGGATCTATTCAGAAATTGGTAGATTTGGAAAGGCTTTTCTTGGCCAGATTCTTTGAAGACGACACAGAGGTCTCAGTCCCGACTCTTCTCACCACTAAGCAGAAAAAGGGAGAATCTATCAAAACCTATGTTGAAAGATTCCGCAGCATGGCATTGCGATGCCCCTCAGGTATGACTCAATCAACATTGGTTGAAACTTGCAGGCACAACTTGCAGACCCAACTCCTTGCTCAGATGGGGGTAGCAGAATGTCGCTCCTGGAGACAACTGGTGTCGTAAGGAGAGCAAGCTGAAGAGATTGTAGATCGGATCAAAGCTGAAGAAGAGCCACAACCCAAGCCGCAGCAGCAACGCAATCAGAACAACGCCCAGCGGTCTAAGGGAAAAGAGACTTTAGTAGCCGACTACACGCAAGTACCACCGCCTACTAAGCATGGCAAAACACCTAATCAGCAAAGAGCGCCCAAGCAGTATTCGTTCAAAGAAGAGCATGTGAACACTCTGTTCCAACTACTTCGGAAGAACAATAAATTGTAGCTCCCTGAAATCAGAAAACCAGAAGAAGCAGGAAAGGTAGATGACCCCAATTACTGTCGCTATCATAGGTTCTTGGGACATCCTACTAGAAAGTGCTATGTCTTCAAAGACATCTTGCAAAATTTGGTGAACGCCAACGTACTCACTCTGAAGCCGGAACAGAAGACTGTATCTACTAACCTGATTGCGGTCTCGCTATCACGCGGACCTAGAGTCAAGGAGACATCGAGTGGTTCAGTTGTCTCAACGACCAATCACTCATGTCTCTGCTAAACTCACGACGGAGGAATGGACTGTTAGACCCTAGAGGGGGGTGATTAGGGTCTTATGCTAATCTAATCCGATTAAATACCAATTAAAATTAATTAATACGTTATCCTAGCAAGAATAAAATACAACAAGATATGTGATCTAGGATAAGCAATATGAACAAGGGATATATCCTAGCAATGAGATATAATATGAGTTATATGCAAGGATATGAAACTAAGGGTGATACAAACATAAACAAGATAAACACGATAGTGGATAAAATGAACTAAGAGCAAATGACAAATGCGATATAAACAATAGGCATGAATGAAAGAGAACGCCAATGACAAACTCAAACACACGATATGATCACGGAGTTCGGTCCCCACGACCTACGTCTCCGCTCCTCACCTCGAGGAGATCTCTACTATCTCAACCGGGTTTTCTACGTTCACCCGAACAACGTTTATACCTCACAATACAATCAAGTGTATCTCACAATAAGCTACAATATAAATCAAATGATTGTTCTCTCTAACAAGGTGAGAACTCAATTAAGCTCACTCTCAATGTCACAAACCCACAACCCTAAATTATACTATGAATGTAAATACAATAAGCTCAATAGGTTGTGTGTGAACAAAGAGATAAAACAATATAAACTCAATATGAAATCTAGCTTATGAAATTAAGAACAAACTTATAAAATGCTAGAATTGAGTTTAAGGAAACTTCTCTATAGATGACAAGAGAGTGGGAGAAGAGTGAATGCTCAAACACCAAAGGATGATCTCCACTTGCTCTTGTGAAATTGAATTCACAAACTCAAACCCTCAATTAAAAGCTCTTTAAACCAAACTTAAACAAGCACTAAACAAGTTTAAACCTTTGTTAAACTATTTTAAAACATTCTCTTTTGTTTATATGTTAAAACTGAGGTATAAGGGGGTATTTATAGCCTCCCAATACCTCAAACAAAAGCCCAAACCAAAAGACCAAAAACCCCAGCAAACAGCTCAGAGAAAGAGCCGTTAAAAGACAACGGCTATATTGTCGGTCGACCAAAAATTCCGTCGATCGACCGATGAGAGCAAAAACACGAAGAAAACGTTCTGGACCATCGTCAGTCGACCGGAAATTCTGTCGGTCGACCGATTTGAGATATCGGTCGACCGAACCGGTCGACCGATTTGAGATATCGGTCGACCGAACCGGTCGACCGACGACTCTCTGGAAAAATACTGACGAATGGTCACTTGATCGGTCGACCGTACCGGTCGACCGAAAACTAACATTCTAGAAAAATCGGTTTTAGAGCTGATATTAAAACCCTGTTTAAAAATATCAAATAAATTCAGAAAAATGTAAAACTTTGGAGAATGATTGTAGACATGATAATACACATGCTACAAAAACTGGTTTTCTAAAAAGACTTCCCAAATGAGAAATATCATCATTTTACAAAATAGTCCAAAACATGAAAACCTGAAAATTGATATTTTGATATTTTGACTTAAACAACATTTTGAAACCTTATGAAATGATTGTATAGACTTGATAAAAGATATAACATGTTGTTATGAAGTCTATAATCTAGAAATACAATATTTTCATAAATTTGCATATTCTATGCAATATATTCAAAACACTAAATATGATTTCATTAAATATAAGCTTGTTAAAGGTGAAATCATATATAGGCATATAAACATGAAACAAAATAGTATTTTCCAATTCTATGCATTTGTTTCATATATAAACTTGAAAACTATCAAACCAAAACATATATGTATATATATAACTATATATATACAAAATCCAAAACGTGTATGTGTGTATATGATTGAGCTTAAAGTACTAACACACATAATACAAATTCCTACACTAAATTACCCAAGCAGTGATCTTGATCTTCAATAAGCTTGACTTGGTAATCTCGTGGATGAGGCTTGAACTTGGATCTTGAACTTTGAATAGCAAGGCTTCACCGACATTCCGCCAACCTCCTTTGGATAT